TTCATCTTAAGACCTATCCGTTGGGAGACACCATTGAGGTCATTGAGCATGGTGCTAAGGTCCTTCAGCGATTCTGCCATAAGGACTATATCGTCGGCAAATCGAAGGTGAGTGATGTACTCGCCATTGATGTTAATACCGTATCCTTTCCTGTCCAGTAGCTTGAAAACGTCTTCCAAGGCAACGGTGAAGAGTTTCGGGGATATAACATCACCCTGTCTTACACCTCTCTGCAGTTGGATAGGTTTCGTACTCTGTTTCTGTACTCGGATAGCCATCGTAGCCCTACTGTACAAACACTTCAGCACTTCAATATACCGACAGTCAACTAGGCACCGCTGAAGAGACTGTAGCACCACCCAAATTTCGACGGAATCAAAGGCTTTCTCATAGTCCACATACGCCAGACAAAGTGGCAGATTGTACTCTTCGGTCTTCTGTACAATCTGCCGCGGGGTAGAGGTATGTGGTCTATGGTACTGAAGCCTTTTCGGAAACCAGCTTGTTCGGGAGGCTGGAAGTCGTCGAGTCTGCGTGCGAGACGATTCGTAATGACTCTCGAAAACTGCACGTAGATGCGGCTAAGAAGGGAAATTGGTCTGTAGTTCTCCAAGAAAGCGTTGTCGCCTTCCTTAAAGAACAAGACCGCCGCACTTCTGCTCCACGCCTCCGGAGTAGTGCCACCATGGAGGACGGAATTGAAGAGCTTCTGAAGGACTTTAAGTACCGGTGTTCCACCCGCTTTCAGAAGCTCCGCTGTAATTCCATCCTCGCCTGAGGCCCTGCCGTTTTTAAGGTGCTGAAGAGGCATTCTAATCTTGCTCAGACTGACGTCCGGGATATCATCGGAATAATGTCGGATAAGACTTAATCTTGTGTCGTTACTCACACTTACGTGTGGCTCCAACGATGATGTGTACAGCTTATAGAATAGAGCCTCTCAATCTCACTCAAAATCTCAGGTGTCCCGGAAACGATACTGCCACACTCAGTCTTCAGCTTTGACAATTGGCTCTTTCTGGCAGACAGATCTCTGACAAAGCTTTGGAGCCCTGGTTCCGCTCGATCGCTTCTTTAATACAAGCAGTATTAAAGTTGCGTAAGTCCCGCCGCATGCATTTGGAGATCTGTCTGTTCGGTTGCCTGTATGCTGTCAAATCTGTTGACGATTGCAGCCTCATCTCCCGTCTAACAGCCATGAGATTAAGAGTGTGATCGGAGAGTTTTTGTGTTCTTCTGCGGCTGGTCTTGCAGAACTTAGCTCCGACCGCATGGACAGTTTCCACGAGCTTGTCATTCATATCGTCCACTGCATTGCAATCCTCTAGGCACTGAAAGCGGTTTTGTAACTCGAGCTGAAAGGTTTCGGGATTCTGGATTAGAGCACGAGGGGGACGGAGCGTTGAGTTTTCACCCTTGCGATCACTGAGACATCACTGAACAGTTGGCGTCTGGTAGTCATAATGAAGTCAATCTCATTTTTTGTCGAACCGTCGACCAGGTCCACTTCCTGTGGGGCCGTTACTGAAGGAAAGAGTTCATCATAAAGAGTCCCTCTTTCTCCATAAAGTCCGCCAGCTGCTGGCCTCTTCGGTTCCGTTGCCCTACTTCAAATTTCCCCACCTTCAGCTCACCGCTTTCTCTTGTGCCTAGTTTTGCGTTGAAGTCTTCCATCAGCACCGTGTAGTGGGTTTTGGAAGAATGCATGGCTCTGGAAATATCCTCATACATTTCCTCCACCTTCTCATCGGGATGTGCCGAGGTTGGTGCGTAAACCTGTATGACCTTCAGCGAATACCGTTTGGTGATTGTGAGTATCAGGTACGCGACCCTCATCGACACACTCCCAATCTTTACAACGTTGTTGACGAGAGACTTGTGGACGATAAATCCGACACCTCCTTGGGACAGATGATCGCCCTCCCGGTGGTAGAACAAGTTACCGGACTCGAGGATTGCCGTATCCTCCCCCTCTCTTCGGACCTCGGATAATCCAATAATATGCCAGCGCAACTTGTCTACCTCTTCTTCCAGCTCCAGTATCTTCTCGTCAGTCCTCAGAGTGCGTGCGTTATATGTTGCCAGGTCGAGTCGTCGTAGGTGGCAACCGAACCTCCACCGGAGATTCTTAGCACCCACTGCCCCGCCGTTACCATGGTCGCCACCGTAGCCAGGAATAGCAGGGCCGCCGGGGACTATTTACTTTTTTATTCATGGGGGGATATTTGCCATAGTTGCCACGCTTGGCGAGCGGGTTGGCAACCGCAGTTTTTTATTATAACACAGTTGTTATCAGGAAGATGCTGCTGCCCATCTCCTGCCTGTCTCCCTCTGTCGCCCCTTACGACACCCACGGGAAGATATGGGGTAGTGGATATTCTCAACCGCCACTACACGGCTTCTACTATGTATGTAATTATATTATTCTGTGGTTTAGATTCTCAATTGGACCCGGCGTTGTTGTCGAGATCCAGAAATCACCCGGGGCGGGGCTAGTTCTTCAATCCCCCCCCCCCCGTATAGGTGGGATGTGAACATATCTTTTTCGGATGACTTGAACATTGGAAAACTAACCGTTGGCAGACAGTAGTGCTGAATTTCAAATCAGCGTATTCTGGAGACTAGAAGTCATGAAGTCTGCGTTTAAGACTGTATGATATATGGTGATGTGATGACTTTCGAAAACAGCATGTAGATGCAATTAAGAAGAGGAGTTAGCGTAGTGGTAAGTGTGCGGTAAAATTAAATAGTGTTACGAGCTTAGGGTTCGTGACAATAAAAACTGCCGATTGAATCACCAAATTTGACACTTTAATTACCGAACAGCAATTAAAACTCAAAGCACACTAATAATTAATTACACTTAACAATTTTATTCACAGGTATATCGCTTCAAAGTCTTCGTTTGAATTGCCAATTAAATACTGCCCCGGGTCGCGGTAAATACCAGTCTCATATAGGAGCTTATTTACCGAAACATCTAGTATGTTCGAGTAGAATGTCGAAAGTTCTAGCATCGAATTTTCTAGAAAGCTCTCCTAGTTCTACTACTTCATTTTTAAGATGCTGGGGACCCATCCCAATCTCCTTTAGATTGACGTCCGAAACTTCATCAGGATATCGTCGAATATAGTGCAAATCTCCACTTAATCCCACTCAAACTATCTTGTCCCCATCAATTCGCTGACACTGTTGGTTTTCAAATTATACAGTCAACAGCCACTTCAAATATTTTTGAATTACCCTGAATAAGCGGAGCTGTTTGATTCTAATAAATTTTTGTCTTTCACGATATCTACATGCTATTCTGTTTTGTCAACCACACGAAGTTTTTAGATAAATTGTAACATAGTTTCAAAAACAACTTCGACGAATTGTTAATTGGGCGAAACAAGGTAACTTTCTGGTGAAATCCTTTGAACTTTCGAGGTGCGAGTATCTTAGGGCCGCAGTGCTCTAGGCGGTTACCCACGCCTTGCTCCACCTCTGTTCCTCGGGATGGTGGCAAACTCAGAGATTTGGATTTATCTCCGATAACCTTAGGCTTTAATAACCATATAATCTGTATAGCGAAACGAAATTGGAGGCGTTTTACATTCATAAATTACGTATGGACAAAAATCAGGATGTTTGTGATATAACAGGACACAGGAACTTAATATCTTAAAAACATATAATAATAATAATATCCTCCGGACCCAATTTCGGTTACAGCGGCTAGTCTCAACCAGGCCAGTGTAGGGTAGGATTATAGTGTCCAAGTGTATGCGCATGCACAGATGCACTCTGTATTCCCTCACTCCCATATTCATATTCTGACCACCGGAGAGAGATCAGGCGTAGGACCAACGGCTTTACGTGCTTTCCGAGGCACGGGGGTGAGACACCGCCAACTTCCTGAGTTCGTACTACTGAGAATTTCTTATTAGAAAAAACCGAGGTCGGGACCTCATGATCATTAAAAATAATAATAATAACCCCCCGGGGACCACCTTGGCGTGGTGGGGGGGCTAAAGGGGAGGCATGAACCTAACAGTGGTCACTACGAACTTGACCATACCATGTATTTACCGATACAGGAGGTACATTTTATTAACCATTAACATCTTTGCTAACCCTCCCCAACTAACGGTCCCACACCCAAACCCAAATGGAGAATAATTATGGTACTAACAAGAAGTAAACGGCCCCGAGTGCTCGGGGGACCCAGTAGCAGCACTGGTTATGAAGGAAGCCAGCCTGAGACTGGGCCTAGGGGTGCGAAGAATCCCCGAGTGACGAAAGCAACCCGTCAACCGACCCAAGCGACACATATGGACTTCGACATGCTAAGCGATATAATCTCATCGACACCCTAACCTTTTCATTCATTCAAATCTTCTATTTCATCTCCACGTTCATACCAGACTTCAAAGAGATCAGACTCTGTATCACCCATGTCTGAGGATGTTGTGCAGGAAGCTGTCGCCACTGAACCTGCACCCTCCCCAGATAGAAATCGTGCGCGCAAAAGATGGACAGAAGAAATGAATAAATTCATCTGGCGCACGTATATTATAGCCACTAAATTAATACTAGCAAAAACCAAAAAGAATTCTCTAATATCATGCAGGGAGTATCAAGAAAAAGTTAGATCAATGCAGAGCTATATTCAGAAATAAATTACTTCCCAAAAAATATTAGATCATATAAGGAACGAAGTTGCAGTATACTTACAACAAAGACACAGTAATACCAATCATATACAAGCCGACTCGATCACGCAATCACACACGCAACCACATTTTAGCAATCAGCAAGGCTTGACACAAAGAAGACGATGGACAGCTGACCAAAACGAATCTATTGTGAGAAATTACTATAAAATCACCAAAATTGGAGAAAATAAATCAGCTTACCGTAGACCCCTCCATCAAACAGTCGTAGAAGAAGACCCTGAGTTAATAGGTGTAAGTGAACAACAAATATCAAATCAGATCAGAGTAATATTGAATAATAAAATGATTAATGAACAACGACTTCAAAAGATACGTGACAATATATTAAGCAACCTGAATTCCCGACGAGACAATATGGAAAATAATTCCTCACTTATCACATCACAACACACGATCCTTACACCCGAAACAGAAAACTCGACCCGAAACAGAGAAGTCGACGTTCATCCATTCATTGTAGAAAGTAACACTCCCGTGCATACACTTAGCTTAACCTTACAAACTCAACCTAACGAATCAGTGATATCCACTCAAGCCTCTGAAGCTCATAAAACCAAGCAATAGAAAATAACGACGCGAAAAAAATCCAGGAACTGTTTAGAATAGCAAAAGACAAATTTCGTAATACCAACCCAACTAAACGACCTTATATACCAAAACAAAAAAACTTCTAAAAGGCTAGCATAAATTGTAGATTTTATAAACACTAAAATATTACCAAATCACATATCGAGAGAGCAGGATTTCGAAACCACTCAGACCATAATTTAATGCATGGCGTACACAGTAGCTATAATTAACGGAACCAAAATCAGAAACACAAACACAAGACCTACCCAAAGTCGAAATAAAGAACCTGCCAAACATTGGATTTCAGAAGAGACATTGAAAGGCTAACAGAATATACCAAAGGCAATAAGAACGGAAGCAATAAGAAATAAAATACCGAAAACATTCCCAGCACGAAGAACCCAATTTAAGCGATGAACAATTCCTTGACACACTTAAACAAATACTGAATGCGGCATCTAGTAGAGTAAAAAGATACCTTAACTGCACACTTAGGAAGTCACAAAATAGCCAGTTTATCAATAATGAAAAACAATTTTATAGGAGCCTGACTTCAGACACACAATACGACACACATATAGAAATAGGCAAGATGCACCATTACCACCCGCCAATTAATTACATAGCTTCTGGTCTGGTATTTGGTCTATACCGGTTCACCACAATACTGAGGCAGAATGGCTGAAATCAGATTCCGAAGTAACTGATTCTATCACACTAATGGCATTTGAACAAATACCTCTGAAAGTATTTGTGCATATATTAAAAAACCCATAGCTGGAAAGCACCCGGAAGTGACCGTATACATAACTACTGGTATAAGAAACTTTCAACAATTCACCCTCTACTTCACAACCATATCAATGATTTTATACAAAAGCCAGACATAATGCCCCGATCGCAGATCATCAAAATCCTGCCAAATTCAGACCTATCACATGTCTCCAAACCATTTATAAAGTACTTACAGCGTGCAAAGCCGAAATCTTACATCAACATATAGCCACAAACAAAATCCTTACTAAAGAACAAAAAGGATGTCGAAAAAGTAGTCAGGGATGTAAAGAACAACTCATAATAGACTCAGTAGCAATGAAACATGCTATTTCTAAAAAAAGAACATCAATACAATGTATATTGACTACCGAAAAGCATTCGACTCCGTACCGCACAGCTGGCTCCAGTACATGTACTTCAACACTATAAAATTCACCCACAACTTATATATTTTCTTGAAAAATCAATGCAGCACTAGACAACTACATTAAAAACCATAGGAACGTCTTGCATAGAAACATCAGAAATTCCAATACGTCGAGGAATCTTCCAAGGGGATGCGCTTAGCCCTGTATGGTTCTGTCTCGCATTAAAACCTCTCTCGCAAATGCTGAACAAAACCAATTATGGTTACTAGTGATGCAACAGAACTCTGTTTCCGTTTCCGCAACTGCGGAAGTTCTGCACGGTTTTTGACATCCGTTTCTGCTTCTGTTTCCGCAAGTTTTATAACGGAATTTTGAACGGAACTCAGCGACGCATCCACATAAAGAGATTTATTGTATTTTTAGTTAATTAGAAATTTAAGTCGTGTGTGTAATTTAATTGCAATCATGAAGCCAAGAACAAGTCCTGTTTGGAACTAATATTTTGAGATTGATGATTAAGCAGCGCGGTGTAAATTATGTGACAAAATATACTCGGGAATAGGCTGCACAACTACCGCTTTAAAGAGCCATCTTAAACGCCGAAGATTTTGCTGAGTTTAAGAAGTTAGTTGAAACTGTAAAACTTTCATCGCAAACTAAAAAGCAAATAATTAATGCGACAGTAGCCTAATGGCAGGGCGCGAACCACCCCGCTTCGTTGGAAGACGGGGAAGCTGGTCCTCATTCGGAAGCCGGGGCGCCCTGCGGACTCTCCGTCCGCATACCGGCCCGTGGTGCTGCTCGACGAGGTGGGCAAGCTCTTTGAAAGAGTCATTGCAAACCGCCTCGCCGAGCACCTTGCGGGGACGGGGCCGGATCTTGTGGAACACCAGTTTGGTTTCCGCAAGAGGCGCTCTACGGTGGACGCCATCATGCGCGTGAGAGCCCTCACGACGGGGGGATGCAGTGGCCAGAGGGGCGGTTGTCTTGGCGGTGTCTCTCGACATCGCCAACGCCTTCAACTCCATGCCCTGGAGCTGCATTAGGGAGGCACTCCGGTATCACCGGGTGCCGACCTATCTCCGTCGTATAGTCGGGGACTATCTGACGGACAGGGCCGTCATCTACCCCGGTCGCAACGGTGAGTGGAACCGGCGAGAGATGTCGTGCGGTGTCCCACAGGGTTCGGTTCTGGGGCCACCTCTGTGGAACATCGGTTATGACTGGGTGCTGCGCGCCGACCTCCCTACCGGCGTCAGCGTAATTTGCTACGCTGACGACACGCTGGTACTGGCACAAGGGGGGGTCGTACGAGGCGGCGGCGGAAACTATGACACGCGGGGTTGCGATAGTCGTTGAGAGGATTCGGCAACTGGGTCTCGAGGTGGCTCTGCACAAGTCCGAGGCCATGCACTTCCATGGTCCTCGGAACAGGCCACCACCGGGATCCTCAGTAATGGTAGGAGAGGTATCCATCGGCGTCGAGTTGACACTGAAGTACCTAGGACTCGTCCTCGACGGCCGATGGAACTTCGTTGAGCACTTCCGACGTTTGGCTCCCAAACTGGAACGGACCGGGGCTGCCTTCAGGCGACTCCTGCCGAACCTGGGGGGCCAAACGCCTCTTGCCGGAGGCTCTACGCGGGGATCGTGCGATCCATGGCCCTTTACGGGGCCCCGGTGTGGGCGCGTGGTTTGGCGCGGCTTGCCGTCCACCACCTGAACGCGCCCCAAAGGGTGGTCGCCGTGAAAATGGTTCGCGGCTACCGCACGATACCCCGCGAGGCGGCGAGCCTCCTTGCCGGATTGCCGCCATGGGATCTGGAGGCGGTAGTCCTCGCACACCTGCACGAATGGCGCGCGGAGGCACTATGCCGGGGGGAAACCCCGCTGCCGCGGCAAGTTGTCGCGCAGCGGACAGACTTCCGGCACGATCTCATGGCGACATGCCGTCACCACCTTCTGCGAAGCAGTGATGCTAGCGAAGGAGGTGGCGGAGCGGGAGAAGGAGAAAGCAGCAGCTTTCCACCCCGGCTGCCGCGGGAGACGCCCCGGGCGTCGGGGGCTACGTCGTGGCCCCCGGCCACCGTAGGCGCGGGCCTGTGGACGGCGAGCAATGGGTAGCTCGTCGTCCGTCCGTCTAACGACGACAGGCCGTGTCGACGGCGCGTTTTGTTCCACGCGCGCCTCAAAGAGCTGTCAGCAGCGTGATGGGGCCCGCAAGGGCCGACGCCTGCCGGGGCTGCGGGCTATTCGAAAGAGATACCGCGGCTCCGGAACGTAAGGGCACTGAAGGAACACGGATGGTTTTTAGTCAGTAAAAGTCCGACACTCCCTTACGCTCCACCCAGAGCGAAAGGGGTCATTAGATGATTTTCCATCCGCCAAAAAAGGCGCGAACCACGAACTCAAAAAGGTCGTGGGTTCGAATCCACCATTCGACTACTGGCGTGAACCACTAGTAACACAAGCAATTTTAAGCTTACCACGAGTAGTTAAGGGGAATATTAGTAATGTTTACATATAGTATGCATTGTTAATATTCTTTTTTTTTTTAAAAATGGCCAGTCAAGGAATTGCATACCTATTTATTTATAAAATGTATTCCTACGTTATAGTTAAAACCAAATTTTAGTTAAAACGTGTTTTCTCCAGTTAAAAATAGTTTTTAATAAATGCCTTTGTTATAATTTAGATTTGCAAATTAATTAGGTAGCAGTTATGTTTGCGTGAAGTTTATATGATTTATTTTTTACTTGAAGTACTCGTATAAATCAATTATTTTTATTGATTCAAACTACTTTTACGGATTTTATCGCGTTTATTTATGTTATTTTTGATACCCGACGTGTGGGTGCTTTCCAGCACCCATGATCAAGCAATTATTAAATAATATTAATATAATTATTTTTAAAAAAACTTAATGAGTATTTTGGATTCAAAGTTAATTTACGTCGTACTTTCGTGTTAGGGCTTTACTAAATTACCTACTCGCTAAACCTAAATGTGGCTCTTTAAAGGGTTTGTCCAAATTCCAGTGCCTATTTAGCTTTGGTGTATAGGTGGTATACAGCATCGCCAGTGAGCAATAATTATTATTTTTCTGAGCTGGACTTATATATGAAGAACACTGGAACAGATTGTTAGGTGTAAAAGTGGCCGAACTACTTTTCATAAAATATAACTTACCGCTACTTAATTTTGAATGATAATTAAAAGTTTTATTTGTAATTTTTTTAAATAGGTAGTATTTCCGTTTCCGTATCCGTTTCTGTTTCCGTTTCTGCAAAAAATATTTTTAACATCTGTTTCCGTTTCTGCTTCCGATATGATACTTCCGTTGCATCACTAATGGTTACTCTATCATCACACCACACAAACACACCACTCTAACACACCTGATGTACATGGACGACATAAAACTATACAGTAACACTACACATTCATTGCATCTTTCTTGCAATCTTTCTCAAACGACATTCATATGAAGTTTGGGATTGTCAAATGCAAAACTTTCTCGGTTAAAAATGTTAAAAAATAACCCCAACAGCTATAGCCTAGTACCAGGAGACACGATTGAACCTCTAGAACCCCACGCCTCTTGTAAATACTTAGATTTCCAACAAGCCCGACAGATCCATCAAAAGGAAACGAAAGAAGGTCTCAAAAAGAAATTTAAACATCGGCTCAATAGTATATTTCTGTCTCAACTCAACTCCCGCAACATGTCCCAACAATCCCCATACTGACATACTCGTTTGGTATAATAAACTGGACGCAAGGTGACCTTATCAATTTGCAACGTATTATAAATACCACTCTAACGACTCACCGCAAGCACCACCCTAG